GAAGTACCCAAGGGAAGGATCAGCAACCAGTTTTGGTTGTAGTTATAAGTTATAAGTTATAGTCAAGTTATAGTGCCACCCAAGAGGAGGATCGGCAACCAAAATGACCCAACATAGTTTCCGGTAGTGTCGTGCTTATGGCACTCAATAGACTCAGGATAGTTCAACACCGGGCTTCTAAGATATAGCATATCATATTATGATATATGATGTGTATATATATAATATGCTATATATAGTTATATATGGTTCGATTTGATGGTCAGTTTTTAGTACTAGACTAGTGTTGACTAAAACAGACAGGAACGGTTGGAACGGTTCCCTACTGTTGCTGCTTTTCATGGTTTTGTCAGGATCCAAAAGAACGGTTCCGAACGGTTCCTGAGATTCTTGGTTTCAGCCCATGGACTAGGCTGCAAACAGTAAGGAACGGTTCCTACGGTTTTCTGCTGTTCTATTTGGGCCCTAACCTGGCCTGGTTTTGCGAGTTATGAGTGAGTCTTACGAGATTAGTTAGTAAGACCTTGGATAATTAGATAACTAATAAACTAACAAACTTATGAAATAGCAAGCTGACACAACAAGCACCATGGACCATGCACATGGACCAACTGGCCATCGGTCAAAGACGGGACTGTAGATCAGAGGTCAGATTCAAAGTCATAGTTAGCAGAAACACTGAGAGCCTGATTGTCAGACTTGCTATGCTGCACAAGCACAAAGCTTTACACATAGCAGCCTAGCTCAGCCAGGGCACTTTAATGAGTGCCCACATGATATTCAGCACTTTGGCTTCTCGGGGCGACAGCATCTTCAGCGCAGTTGTTGGAATCGAGGACGTGTACCAGGCAGCACCATCACCTGCTATGGACATGTGTCTGGGTCCTGGTTTCTGCCTGCCACAGTGTAAGTGTAAGGCAAGTGGCCGACCAAGCCAAGCTTTTCCTCCCACTGCTGCAGCTCGGCTGTGGACTTGGCCGAGAGGGCACGCGATCTTCGCTCCTGACCACAGGATTTGCTGGGCACTTTGGGGGGGGGGTGGCCAGGACCACCTGCCGAGACTGCACGCGAAGGCTTTGCCACCTCACAGACCAAGCCACACTGTCTCAGAAACCGTTCGGAACCGTTCGGAACCGTTCCTTGGACACCTGAAACTATGTTCCCCACACTGCTCCACCACCGACGACCCCCCACGCGAAACTTCTACCGAGCACCACGCCCCAAAATTGCCACCGGCCCCACCACAGGCCAGCACACCCCTTCCCATTCCCACTGCTTTGCATTCCTGACTCAACTGAAACATGTATCAGACTTATATAACATCCTTCTACTGCGGTATCATGCCATGACAAGGATTGGTTATGTCTCTGTGATGCAATGACCAATGATTGCTAATGATTGACAACACTCACAGGTTGGTTGCAAGCCAGGTCCTTCCCGGCTTCGATGTCCTCCAAGTTGCAGGACATCTCTGGCTGCTTCCCAATCAAGTGCGGCACTGCACGAACGATGTCGCTTATGCTTGATTCTTGGTGCTGTTCGCCCAGAAACTCAATGAACTTCAGCATTGAGTGGAAAGCAGAACCGCTAACTGTGTCGACCCTGGCACCGAAGATATAGAGCCGTTGACGGCACTGCGGCGAGCCAAAGTCTCGGCTCCTTGCAAGGGGCACAAAGCCTACCACAATCATAAATCCCTATCTTGACACATCTGACTGTCCCACTGTCTCACAGTCACTGAGTCTCTGCATACCAAAGCTCTGCTGCTTTACTCTATCTACTCTTCAGACTCCATACACTGCCATACACATAGACAGATGCGAGATGATTGTAACCAGAAATGGGCATGTCACAATATAGCAACTGCAACATGAGTCATGTGACCATGCCCTTGCCATTACAGTGTAATTACAGCCCGAATTGCAGGCACGACTCCGCAACAGAAGCGAGGCGATGTGGTATGGAGTCTCAATCTTGGTGAGGCCAAATTGCTCATCTCCAGTCTCGCCGTGCAGCAAGTAGTCGTAGGGCGACTGGCAGGGGAGTTGTATGCAAAACAAACATTGTAACATTGGTGAAGGGTCCAACTTGGCCGACATGTACTGACAGCTTAATTGTTAGTCACCGGTCAGTTTACGAAGACACGGACACCAGGCCTGTATTGCCTAAGAGGTCAATGGTCATGAATGGGCCGAATGGGACTCAAAGGCTCAAGGCTCAAGGGGTTAATGTTATCAATGGCCCAGTACTGTCTGTAGCCACGGATGCTAGGGATATTCGGTCAGTTGCAGGGGATTGCCGCAAGACATCACCGTGGCAAGTCGAAAGCACTGGAAAGTATTCTGTTCTGTTGGTAACAGCAAAGAAACCAATCTGAACTACCAAGAAACTGTTTGGCAACTTTTTGTCAGAAACAGCTGCTGCCGCTGGGTCTCAATACAGCCTGCAGATGCCATGCAAGCACACAGCTGGCATCAGTCGCTTGAAAACCTGCAGATGAGAGAGCCCTTTTCTCACTGCAGCACTGCAGTGACTTCAGCCAAATACTTGTCCATACTGTCGGTGGGTAAAGAGCACACGCTAGGCAACAATATGTCTTGCACTGGCGGCTCTTGCTAAAGGTTGTAATTATACAATTATACTATAGCAACAGCCCGAACAAAAATGACACAACATAGCCACGGAATCAGGGAACCATGGGATGAACTAGTTTGCATGAAAACAGAAAGATGCAGAGTGAACGAAAGGCATGACCAAAGGGTCACACGAGCATGAGCCGAACCTGACATGAAAGAATCAACAAAAATTATACACGTTGAAAGTTAAAAGAGCAAAAGCATACACACGACATGAACCAAAACATTGCTCTCTCTAAATGGCTTCTGGCTTTTGCTTTTGCTTTTATTTTGTTCTCTGCTAGTGCTATTGCTACTCATGAAGGTCCCGGGTCTCCCATCATGTTGCAGAGGAGGAAGCAGAGGCCGATGCTGTGAGCTGCGACAGCAAATGTTCTGCAGCTGACCTCGCCTCTGCCGTTTCTGTGCTTTGCACGATGGCCTGGAAGGCTCTTTGCGCCTGTGCTTTCCGAGCCTGGGGCTGTTCTTGCACAAATGGCACAACACAAAAATCATGGATGTACCGCGACGGCCTGGTCTCACTCCAAAAGTATGCAAAACGGACACATCCCTTGGCAATCTTCTGCTTGCAATGGTAGCATTCACTTCTGCCGGTTGGTGCCACAGAGCCGTCAACAAATCCGATTTCCAGGACAAAATAAGTCGACCCACGTGCTCTCTGCAAGCTACTTGCTCGGTATGCCGCAGCCATGGTCGCTCTTTGGTCTTGATGCTCAACGAACTCGCCAGCCACCCGTGCAACAGACCTAGCCTCCTGTTCAGCTTCCGCTGTCGGCATTGACAGTGTCTCGGCAGGCTCGGCCTCAAGACCGCCACCCAAGTCCAAGTCTCCTTCTGGCCCACTGCCATCGGAAGCATCGCTCGATTGGCTGGACTCAAGCTCGTCGGACTCGTTCCCAACATTGCGTGGCTGCTTTGCACGACGACGAGAGCCTCGACCTCTTCCCCTGCCTCTGCCCCTTCGGTTGACGGCTTTCTGTCGCTTGCGTGGCATGGGCTTCAGACCAAATGGCAACTCTACTCGTGTCTTGGTTGGAGCTTTGGGCTTCTCTGCCAGCAACGAAAATGCATGAGAAACTTCTCTAGCAATCACTTCCATGCGCTCAATGCTCCACAAACCATGCTCGAAAGTGGAAGTCATGACTTTCACATCCACCTTCTGCAAATGGCCACTGCACGACTGCAGCATGTCCCTGAACACTTTGTGTGAAGTAGCACAGTCTGGCACAGCCTGGTCCTGCGAAACCACTGAATACTTGCCTTCCGAGCCTTCCGGGCAGCCTTCCTGTTGCCAAGCATTCACGAGGATGTGCACAAGTGGCTTCTGGCACAACACACCCAAAAAGTACACAGATGCCGGAGGCACATGCGCTGCCCGAGCGACCACGGGCTGCAACACAACCAAGGTTCCGGATGCTAACTTCAGCCCCAGCGTCTGTTGCTTGAACTGAGTTGCAAGCTGATCTGCTTTCTCAAACCAAGCATCTTTCTTGCAAAACCCATACCGACATGCACAAGTAGAAGCCGCCCCCTCTTGGGGAGCGTCGCCCGTCTCCTCTTCCTCTTCTGCTTCTGGCTTCTGCAAATGCACAAACCTGTAGACTTCTCGATCGACTTGGTCCTGAGAAACCTTTAAGTCTATGTGTTCACGCGCCAACGCACCGTGCATATCTTGCAGCCCCAGGCCATGCTCTGCCCAGGCTGAGTGCTCATCCTGCTTCTGATTGTTCATGAGCAAGCGCTTTGCTGAAACTTTCTTGCAGAACTTCTTACCTGGCATCGCAGCTGAAGAAACTTGGGCAACAATCGAAGAATCACGAGACCACGAGGTTGATTCTCGCTCAAGGTTATCATTCAGTCATCCTTTAGCCTTTATCATGCGGATCACCGGCAGACCAGACCCCATCGGATACGCACCCCTCCAAACAGGCTTCAGAAAGGACAATGATGCAAACTAGTTTCAGTGTTAACCATGGTCCATAATAAGGAAACCATATCTGTACAATTTGAACTCTACTGTCCCCCAGTCGTCTTCACGATCATTATTGACTCATAAGCATAGACACGCATAGACCGCATAGACGTGGACAGAAACACAGACCTAGGGACCGACCATACCGACATAGATTCATATGTGTAAATTATGTAATTAAATAATGACCTTGGTCTGGCTGTAGATTTTGACACCGACATAGACATGACACAGGTGGGCGCCAACATGGTCGCCGTCCTTGTCGTCGCGTCGCTACTGCAAACTACTATTGCGCGATTTGTATTTGCTTTGCGAAACAAGTTTTGAGTTGTGGGCTTGTAGCTTCAGAACTTTTCATGTAATACACACACACACATCTGTGGCTAGGCGGCCTGAGGTGTACTGCAAGACCTCGACAGTCTGCTGCTGGGGAAGAACACCTTGAACGGCTGCGGCTGCAGCTTCATCCGCACCCTGAGATTCTTGGTGCTCCCGCCCCATGTGAGCCTCAGAAGCAGCCCACAGGGGCCGACTGGCCAGCTCGTCTCTGCAAGACTGCTCGTACTCAGCCTGCAGAATGTATGGCCTCTTGTCTTCCAAAGCCCTCCATTCCCGAGAGGTTGCCTTCTGCAGGGCACTGTACTCCGCTTGGCTCAGAGGTCCTGCTGCTTGCAGTTTTTCCCTCATGAACATATTCCATGCAGAGAGCCTTCTGGGCTCGCGGTCTATTGCCGCTGCCAACCGCTTCTTCGGGCTCGCAATGGGCCGAGGCTGTGACCTCTTCTTGGTGCAGCCAAATGATTTCTGCATGTCTGCCATGACCCTCTTGCTGGGCATGGTTTTTGCCAACACCAACGATTTGAGGTGTGCGTGTTCAATCTTCAGACGAGACAGTATGGACACCTCGCTCGCAGATGTGCTTGTCTTTGGCGTGCCACGCCAAGTGAACTGATTGAACTGATTCTGCCCATGTACATTCTCAACCGAATCAGTAGCCAAAGGACAGAAGGTTGCAATGCTCAGCAGCAGGCCTCGCACATCTCTGGCAAATTGAATGCGGATTGAAGGTTCAACCCCTGCCAATGGCCCAAAGCCCAGAAGAAGGGCACTGAAGCCTGCATCCACGCAGTCTGGGCATTTCCTGAAAACCTGGCAGAACTCGTCCCACCTTGCGATGAAGTCCGGATCCTCGCATGCAACCAAGGAAAAAAGAAGCCATGGGAGAGATTGCACGGCCAGGACAAAACGGCGCCATGTGTCTGACAGACTGAACACTGTCAACTGAAAGAAGGTCTCTGGCGTTGTCGTGTCCGCACTTGCTCGAAGGTAATCTGCCAGATCAAAGGATGCAAGATTTTTGAGAAAACCGGCCATCATGTTTCGCCCAAAGTCTCCGCTGCTCCACGACAGAAACAACTCCTGACACTCCTTCTTGAGACCTTGCAGTGATTCGCCATCCTTAGTATCCTGGAACCGCAGCTGTCTCAGCTGCGTGGTTCTTTTCAAGAGTTTGTTGATTCCTGCATCGAGCGGTTCCATGAGCAGATCAATGATGTTCGCGGCTGGTTCAAAGCTTGGTTCTGTCAGGGCTTGTGTAACCAATCGCAAACGCTTGGCATTCTCTTCGGCATACGAGGTTTCGTTGTCCAAAAGCTCCTCCACCATGCGACTCAAAGCTTCGGCATCTTCAGCGTCAGCACGGCCGGATTGAACAGTGTCAGCCCACTGCTCAATCCTTTCCAGAATCTTGTCAGTCTGGCCTGGTATGGGCCTGTTAATAGATTCAACAGAAATGGACAGCAGTCTATGGAATGGTCGGAATGGACGGAATAGAACTCCGAAAGAAAACAAGCCCCCGAACTGAAAGCATGCAAGTGGTCAGGTTAGATGAACTGGCCCAGGCTCAGGAGAAAAGTTACTGTAATAGTAATAAGTAATAATAATAATATAATAACTCATAAACATAAACTAGAAGCAGAAAAGCATCAAATGTCAAAATTTCATGTACCCACTGCCCGGGCGGCGCCTCTAACAGATGGCATCGCTGCCAAGGTCTTGGGGAGAATGCCATGCAAGTACAGCCCATCGCGCACGAAGGTGTTCGCCTCTTCCGCGTGTTTCCAGCGGTACAGGAGCGGCACCACCAGACGGTCGAAAAGCGAATGGAAGCTTTGCATGATCGTCGCAAGAGCTTCCTTCTCCCCGCCGGGACAACAGTCCGCACCAAGGCACCAATGAACAATCTGTGGTGATGTGGGGTCGCCGTTGTCCTTTATCAAGTGGTGCACCAGCTTCTTCATGCGCTTAGGCCGAGCCAGAGAGATGCGCAAGTGCTTTATGGTAGCATTTTTCCAATTCAGCACCTGGTCAGGCAAAGATTCGACATGGCAGTACATGAAGTTCTCATGCACGACCTTGGCCATTGCCGTGTGAAAACGCGCCCTGAATGAGTGGGATTCAAAAAGGTGTCCAAGACGAACCAATGTGGACCAGTACCCTGTGAAACCCAGGGCGACTGTACGTCGAGTGAGGCTGATTTGATGGATTCCACAATGGATTTGCAATGCCACCGACTTGCCGTCTTTCTGCTGAGCCCAGTGGTGCCGAATCTTGCCACAAAGCTCCTTAAACACGGAATCGTTTGTCTTCAATGCGTCGCATATCATGACGAAAACATGCCGACGAACAAAGCGAAAGATGTCCTGAGGGACACCCCATGCAGTCCAGCGATGACCAACATCGCCACAAAATGCGAGCAACCAGGACAAAAACTGTTTGGCCAAGTGGACTGCCGTAGCACGATGCAGTGTTACCATGGGCTGGTGCAAGAAGAACCACTTCGGAACGCTGTTGTCAGTGGCCTGATTCCAATCCTTGAGAACGACGTACTGTTGAATGTTGGCCATCACAGACCGGATCTCGGCTGAAGCTTTGTGCGCACGAAGCATCTTGATGTTTGTATCATCACAAGTGTTCAAGGAAAGCACGAGTGAAATGCATGGCACATCCTCCGCCATGGCGAAATCTGCCTCGCCATCATTGCCACTGCCCAAGAACAACTTCTTCAGTGCCGCTGCAACACTGACGAAGTACAACCAAATGGCCCTGCGCCGATCTTGGTCCTTCTTCTGAAAAGTGGTATTCTCTACAGGTATCTCTTCGAAAATATTCCACCAGCTTTTGACAGCTTGTCTCCCAGCAAAGTTCTCTTTCTGAAAAGCTGCGCAAGCAGCCTTGTCTGGGTCAAGCTTCATAGCTGCCCTCGCTCCAGTGTCGGCTGCAGTCAACTGTTTTCGCTGTCTGGACAGCAAGGATTTGGCTCGTGCGTTTGCAGTCTGCTGCTGCCGTCTCAATCTCTGCAACTCTTCATCTGCAGATTCTGCTGCATCTGCATCTGGATCCTTGCTTTTTACTTCTTCACTACCGTCACTACCTGCTGGAGAAACAATGCTGGCCGCACTGCTGTTCGATCTAGCACGTTGCCCTGAAGGCGCTGAAGGGCTACGCGAGCGCAGGTGTCGTCGCCCTCCTGCCCACAAATCAAACAGTGGCATAGCGCCGCCTCCACAAATGCCGACAGCCTCACTCCGAAATGCTATCATTAACCTGAGGCTTCAATGTTGTGGATGATGCTACAATCACAATGATGTTATGATTGTGTCTGATTGAGTTATGATGTTACAATGTTGCGTACTCGCACACAGTCCCCACTCCTGATCCCTGCCACTGAGTCCTCGTGGGTCTGGGCAGAAAAGAGAGACAGAGTGAGATCGATGCCAAGACGTTCAACATGCATGCTGCACTCGCCCAAGATCCCGAGCTGAGATTTTAGAGCAAGCCTCGCGTCGTAGAACATCCAAACTCACATATCACAAATCCCGCAGTCCCGAATCCCGGCCTTGTACGTGTCGAAGAATTCTCCGGTGCATTGCGACGGCCATGCAGACTGGAATTGAGGAACCTCCGTGGGAAGTTGATTTTCTGAGCATGCCACCACATGCCGAATGCCTCTGAAAACTGCTGTGCATGTGCGGAATCCCATTCTGCAAACCTGAGTTTTTGGACGACGGTCCAATGAGGCATGTTGTTGCTACCTTTCAATGCGCAAAGCTGAGTTGCTACCTGCTACCAGTCCCATCAAGTTCAAATCTGGCCTCCTCCAGCAGGAATGTGCGCGGAGTGCGCCGACGAATATGTCGACAAACTTCTATAATCGGCCTCGCAATTTCAGTTCAAAAACGCTTGGGCTTTCTGGGCTGTGGGAATGAGTGTCTCGCAGATGGTGCACACAGGGCCTTGCATTCGGGTCGTTCTTGAATGGGTCATAGTGCAAGCCACGTCGTGCTGAGCTCAGCTTGGAAAACGGCTGACATGGCGGGCCTGCCACGAAGATATCCTGCAGCGGCGGGCCAATGCTGCACGACTATGCGAACCATCATCACGATTCCTGAACCAAGTCGACCACACCATCATCAGCCTGAGTCATCCACAAATCATCACCACCACTAGGTTATCATCCTCAGCATTGACTCATCATTTGGCACTAAGACGAGCACACGGATCTTGAACTGCCGGCTCTTTCTGCTACGTGCTACCGGGAAACTTCCAGGTCTCCGTCGAGATCGACGGGGGGGCAAATATCGCTGTGTTTGGCACAAGGACCGCCTGCATAGCCACCGGAGCAATCGGTGAATAAGTGGCGGCCTCGGTTGATGCAAACACGGATGCAACATCGGTTCACATTGCCATCATGCTGCCCTAGATGAGCACGTCGTTACCACTACTGCCTAGATCTGTCTATGCAACCGGGCCAAGTGGCACTCATAGCTGGATAACATCACTGTTTGGACTGCTCTGTCACTTTCAGAAGCCAGCACTTCCTCAAAGTCGGCCCCGATCTCAGTGCAAATGTCCGACCTCTGCACAGCGAGCACAGCAGATGTAAACTTTGCGACTCCAATGTAAGTGGGAAAGATCATGATGTGCCAAGCTTGGGTCCCGGGCATACAATAATTCAGGCTCCCTGCTCCGGAGCACGCCGATGAAACCAGGTACCTTGGCATTGCAGAAAACGGCTCAGGACCCAGGACCCTGTTTGTATTCAGAGCTCGCTGCAGTCAACACTGCCACTATTGGAGTTGAGTGTCCTATCACGTCCATGCGGCGGGCAGATAGCCGCACCGGTGAGGCCAGAAGCTTCCAAATACAACCGTGCGCAATCAAACATCGTCATCGTCGGTGATCCGGTGACATCTACATCCTGTTCCTCTCGGCCTTCGTCCTCACTCCCAGATGACATCTGCGATGTAAGCACCGAGCCCGCGCCTTCCGACGCGGACTCGGCCAGGTCCTGCAACCAGGTTCAGATAATCAGTGAATAGTCAGTTAGAGGGAACTAGCCGGCGGATGTGTGCGATCGGTCCTCTGACTTGTCATTGCCATGAGCAGCACTGCTTTCCTGCTGGCAGGACAAGAAGTGAGAAAATAAACTGGAAGAACCTCGAAACTTGCTCCACACTTGTCCTCCCGAATTCTGGCAAATTTGGCCAAGACCGCCAACAAGCCATCGTTCGCTGCCATGGTATATGGCACAACAGGCGGGTTATCGAATCATGCCATTGCTACAGCATGTCGTTTGTTACGTTGACATGCAGTGAGCGCATGATCTAGCAGCGCACTGCGAAGCACTGAGCCGTGTGCCTGACTGCTGCAACTGTCTTCATGCGTGTTGCTGCAATTTCGAAAGCTCGGAGAAAGTTCTGCAAAGCCGGGCGAATTCCCACAGCATTTACAGGACGCGGGGGTTTATCACGACCATCCAAGGAAGACTCGCTACATAAGTTCTGACATCCTGCTTTGGTTTCTGAGAATCCTACCTCAGTTCCTGAGATGTGGTTTCTTGGAAACACACAGCCTCGAGTAAACAGGCCGACCGAAGCTACAAACAATAATCATTAACAGGGGTGGCATCCCAAACGACTCTTCCTTTATCCGAAACCGTCCGGTCCGGCATCATCTTTGGGACTCTTGCCATAGGCACCGACACCACTCCTTCCAGCCCTTCTCCCTTGTCATGGCACACGAGGACTCGCCCCCTTGTGACATCTTTCCAAATCTGAAGGGCCGCGTCGTCCAGGTGGGCTTTCAGGCTTGGGTACGGGGCGCACTTCAGGCGTGAAGCAACCGGGGCCTTGACCTTTGCGTCCACTCCCCATATCGCTGTACGTCTCGCCCTCTCCAATAAAGGCGCAGGGACCAATCCCTCCAGTTCAGGGGTGTGCAGGCCAGCGAAATGATCCCCATGTCGAAGCAGGTACTCTCGCTTCATTGCCCGGATGGCTTCTTGCCATCCCCCTGCGACTTTCAGAAGACGGGATCCAAACGAAGCTACTTCCCTGAGGCCTTGCTTGCTATAGTCGGGGTGCTTTTCGATCTCATCCAGATAAGCAGCGGCAGCCTCCGAAACGATTGGCTCCGGATTGGGCCCCAAAGGTCCGTCTCTGACGTACTGCGGCAACTCCCCTTCGTCCTTGGACCTCCCTACCCTCGAAGGTTCCTCTCCTACCAGCGATCCCTCCTTCTGCTCGTAGGGAGACCCGGGGTTGGAGCAGCCTGCGAACGCTCCGCCCCCCCCCCCCCCCGAAAGAGGCCCGCTCCGCGCCGGCGGCGAAATGACACCGGAAGTGGCCAACTGCTGCGCGACGACACCAGAGGAGGTCGCAAGAAGCGAAGGAAGCGAGCCAAACGCCGACGGGGGCAAGCGAACACGCACGAAGCCAGCCAGCACAGCGGAGAGCTCAACATGGCGCCAGCCTCGACCGGTGAGAGGGTGCACAAAGGACGCCTCCCCCCCGCGCTGGCGCTGCTGCTGAAGCAGGAGGGCCACAAAAGCGAGCAGAGGGGCAGAATGATCGGCGGCGGCAAAGCGCGCAGCGGAGGCAACCTCCGCGGAAGGGAGCGAAACAACGAAATGCGCCGGGGCCGCCGACGCCAACAAGTGAATGAGGCTGGCACGCACCGAGGCGCGCCGTACGTCATGCCCTTCAGCCGGCCCCAGAAGCGCGTACGATGCGCCGACGGAAAGGCACCGGAGCGCGGGAAGCGGGCCCAGACACAGCTCATAAACCACCGGACGCGGATCCGAGCCGACGCAGCGAGGAGAGAGAGCGGGGTCAACGATGTCGGAAGACGAGGAGGGCTCCCAACCAGCCAAACCGGCCCGCTGAGGCGGCGCCGGTACAGGATACAAGCCCAAGACACTCGTGGACAGCCCAGTGCGCCGCAGTTCCTCAACTTCGCATCGAGGACATTTGGCCGGCGGCACCAGCGTAGCACCGGCGACAGAAGCAGCCTCCAAGTGCACTTCCCAGCCGTGCATAACGATGCTACGGGTGGAAGCAGGCATAGCCTGAGAGCTAGGAATAAGAAGACGCATATGGCCTTCGTAAACAAGAAGCCAAGCAACTCGCGGTTGCCGGGCATCGGCAGCAGCCCCCAACAGAGTTTCCACGGCGGGGCGCCCCCACGAGTCCAAACGGACAATGGATAAAGCTAGCGTCTGGGCGAGAGAAGGCGGGAAGGCGGCGAGGCAACGATAATCCTTGTCATGCCCGAAAAACAAGAGGTCATGCACGAAGATTCGAAGATCGCGCTCGGCACGTGTCATGCTGCCGGGCTCGAAAGACAAAGCCTCGGCTGCCACGACCGCCTGAGAGTGGAGTTCAGTACGCAAAAGCGCGGCGGCGACTCGGGCTTCTTGCCACGTGGGCACGGTTTTGTCACGAGACCAGAGGCACGCAGCCGCAACATGGAGGAGCAAACATTGCCGAGGTTCTAGGAGGCGTGCGGCTCTGTGAGGGGCTCAAGCTTACCACTCAACTCAGCTGGGACTGCCAGGGAATCACCATAGTCGTAAACGGCCCAGCTGTGTGCTCTCCAAACCATCTCAGCGTGCCCCGGAGCGTCCACGCCCGCTGGCCACACGGTCTTAGAGACCGTAGCGCGATCGACGCGGCTGTCGCCGACCCGAGCGAGGTAGGCCTCTGCCTCCACAGACAACTCTGGAGCACCACGCTGGACGGCGTCGTCTAAAGCACGCTGCACGTCCTCCGGCCCTGGGCGGCCCGGAGTGTGGAGTAAGCGATTGCGAAGGTAGCAGGCAAGGGTTGGCGGCACATCTGGCACCAAACCTGAGTCCTCAACAGCTTGCATAGCTTGTGCGCGCGCCTGCGTCGCAGGAGTAGCATGCTGCAGGCCGACCAACTTGACAGGGGGCGCGGAGGCATTCTTGGTCCAATCGACAGCCGTGCCAGACATGGCATCAGCAAGGCCTGTCTCAAGATCTGTGGCGCAGAAGTCGCCCAATTCGGGCGGCGGCTTGGCCCAGCCAGCGCGGGTCTCGGAGGACTCAACAGTCCCACCGCCGACCGTGCGACCTGCAGTGGCTTTAGCTTTCGCCTTGGCTTTGCCTTCAGCCACGGCGGCGGCCACTTTGTCCGCGTGGGTTTTTCGCAACGAGGCGACGGCCTTGTCGACCTCAGCCGCGGTAGAAAGCTTAGGCTGCTGCGGGTGCCCGCCTCGACGGAGCAATTGCATCTGTATGCTGAAGTCCAACGTAGACCAGACGGGGTGCGGCTTCTCATGAGAGTGTGCACAATTGGCATTGCGGCACCCCCTGCGAGACATGAAGTCCCAGCACAAGTACTTACCCGTCTTCTGGCACTTGGGCCGATGATCCATAGAACGCTGCACTTCCTTACCTGAAAGAGGCTTGCCCAGTAAGGCAGAGGCGGTGGGAGTAGCACCAGCTCGAGGCCCGGGGACCGAATCGGTCCTCAGGGCCTCCTCACCCGTACCGCCTGCCCTTCCTCCCCCCAGCTGACCGGTTGGGCCCTTCAAAGCAAGACTCCAGCAGGTCCGCTCCAAGATTCGACGTTGCCGAGGCAAGACGTCTGTCTGGAAATACTCTAGCGGATGCTCAAGCTCGAAAGTCTGGGGTAGGCGCAACCAGGGCTGGCCATCCAGACCCGGGGCAGTGCAGAAAAACTTGAGTCTTTCGAAGGAAGGAGTGTCTACCCCCATTTCCCTACGGGCTTTTCGCTCAGTGTCTTTGATTTCCTCCAAGAAGCGACTCCAAAGTTCTTCCCAAGTAGCAACGACCAGGTGCAAGGGCCAAGCATGGGCTGACTCTTCTCCCAAGCGGAGCAACCCATTGGCAGCCCTCTCCCAGCAACCATAGTGTTGGACTCCGAAGACGCAGGCAATCGCCCAGCTCTGTCTCAGAGCATTACGGAACCAAAGGGTGAGGGTGGCTGGGGCACGCGGCTTCTTCTCCAGCTTGATATCACCGGGAATCGCGTAGCCGTCAAAGTCGGCTTCCGAAGTAGCTGGAAAATCGCCCACTGTCAAGGAGTATTCGGGAATCTGCCCTTTGCCACCGACGTTCAAGCTACACACTCCAAAAGCGAACCGGTTGGTGATATTCACTGGAAACTTAATCGAACGCAGCAATGGTCGGTCTTGAGACGCCGTATTACGGAGCGAATGAAACAATTCCTTTCCGACCGTGGCCATTCCCAACGGTACGGTAAGGGAATCACATCCCCTGATCATGAACAGACAGCGCTCTTCTATCTTTCCGACAGACGCTAATTTTCCACGATCTTGCGCGGACGATTCATCCTTCGCAGATACTGCTTTAGCGATTGCTTGTAGAGCTTTTGTTGCTTCGTCCGCGAACGCCGGCGGGGGGTTGGTATACGCACCGGCGCGGTACCAATCCGGCGGCGTGACCCCGAGAGTTCCTTCGTCCGCCGTGGCCTTACGACGCATCAAGCCCCCAAGGATGTCGGGTGACACAGGACTGGCCTTTGGTAGGGATGAGCTCTCCCACGGGAAGGGGGATTGACGAGCCTTCGCCCCTAGGAAGAGGCTAGGGTTCACAGCTTGATTGACTCCGAGCTGCTGCAGAGTCGGCACGTTGTCCACACCAGCTGGTGCCGAGAATCTTTCCGAGGGCGCGTCGCCCTTCGAAGTGTTCTCTTGCCAAGCGCTTGGACCAGTCAGCTCCGGGGGCGAAACGCCCCTCGGATCGCCTCCCAGGTTCGAACTGGATGCCGCACCATTGGGCGTTCGCAAGAGTTGCTGCATGTCAGAATGAGCATATGCTTCTGGACCAGGAGACATGAGTGAACGCAAGGCTTCGAGAACCTCAGGGTTATCCCCAGGCTTGGAGTTATCCACATAGGACTGGGCTTCAATAGCCAGGCACTGTGTCAAGGCCTTTTCCTTGTCAAGAGGCAGATCAGATCCGAACTCATCCCGAAAGGCCCCTTTCAAGGCATCCTCCGGGTTCTCGAAGGACATGAGGCGTCTAGTAACGGTCGGGAGTAAGCGCTTCGCTTCGGCGGCAGGGGTGCGGCTCTCTGGCTCATGAGGGCTTGCGTCTACCGGCGGGGCCCCGCGTCATTGGTGACCCGTTTTCGGGCCACTCTTGGCCCTTTTTCTTCCTTAGCTCCATGGAGCCGGCACAACCGTACCCCTGCCTTGGTATAATATGGTGTGTTGCAGCATCCTTCGACTGAGCATGTTCTTCCCTTTTGAGAGGCTTGATAAATAGCCCGATGGTAGTCACAAACACACACCAAGCAGGACCCGTCCGCAGCCCTTGGGAGCCCATCCTGGCAACTGACGACTTCGTCGGCTCTCAGCAAAGGTTCGGGATTACCTCGAGACAAGTCTCGGCAGGGTTCCAAAGCCAACGGCTTCACTCCAGTGGAACCAAAGTCCATGCCGACCTGATCGGCCTGGCACGGGTTCCCTTCCTCGGCCTCTGACTCCGTCTCCGAATCATCATGCCGAGGGGTAGGGTTCCCGGTCCCCGGGCGCGAAGCGCGCCTCGGGTTCCTTAAACAACAGGCTCTCGAAAGGCAGCCCCTACAACACGACGCCGTTTTACGAACGGTGCGGCGGAAACAGGTACACCAGAGACAGCTGCAAAACCACGTGAGTATCGCACATCTAGCCCAGGGCCCCCTGCCCGCCAAGTCTTGAAGATCGACCTCTTGGGCTTGGGATATGACCGCGCTGGTGCCGACGTGTACTGCGTGCTCGTCTTCAGCCGTGCAAGGTTGTTGGGCGCATAAGTGGACTCGGCATTCAGCAGCTTCCAACAAGTTACGGAAGTACCGATGGGATGACGCCTTGACTTCATCACAGGCGCAAACAAAACCATGCCGATTGGTTCGGCCCCTGATGGTTCCATGTCGCAAACGGGCGATAGCTGTGCCATCAGTAACGAGGAGATCGAAAGGTAGCCGGTTGGCCCCTCGCCCTCTCACCTCCGTTTGCACATAAGCCACAGTCCACGGCTCACCAGCGCAAGGTCCTTTCCAGTTGGGTCTAAAAGGTCGCTCCCCGAGGAGCCTAGAGACCTCGCTCCAGGGTGCGTCGCCCCGGAAGTACCGGAAAAGTGCTCGGATGTGTACGAGGACAGGAAAAATAACCCAGGTGTACGTCCAGATGCCTAGCTGAATAAGGAATACCCCAACTATTCCCACCATCAACCAGTACACCCAGCGTGCTGCGAAACCAATGGAGGAACAAAGTGGCCCACAATAGGCCCTTGCGTAGGCACTGCAAAATTCCCAGATCGGGAGGACTCTAAAATTAAAGAACTCCCAAAACGCGCCCCTCCAGCTCCACGGACTTTCCTCGGAAGAACCCTCCTCCGACTCCCCGTCGTCCGACAGCTCTTCCCACTTCGCTTGGAAAGGTATCCAGGAGAGGTCCGGGACTGAAAACAGTCCTCGAACCCCCCATGAGCTCTGGACCTCCCCCGGTCCTTCCCAAGTGAGGGTGGTCGTGGTCGTGGTCGTCGTAGCGTTGAACTTTCGCTCATAAGCTGAAGCTGCCAGAAGAGCGGCCCCAGCGAATGCCCGACCAGGAACCCAAACCATGGCTTTGCGCAGCTCCTAGGCTACCTAAAAAACTAAGCTACCT